ATTGTCAGTCGTATTAACTCCTTACTGTTTTTACCCAACGAAAGACCTCACTCTTTAATTCTTAAAAGTCGGCACATCCACTTACTAGATGCTGCATTATTGTTGGCTTTTTTTCTTGTTTTACTCTTCCTTCTTCTTCCCCTCTAGACATTGTTAGTCCACTGCAAGATGTAGCCCTCCAACAACAACCTCTACTCTGTTTTATCCGTGCCCAGGCTGTGCCGTCAGCTCTATGATGTCGTCTTGTTTTCCTCACTTGTCACAATTAATCTCTGCGTGGCCGAACTCTATTGTATCTTCACAATGTAGTATTAAAACTGCACTCCTTTCTTAAAACTTCCCGTAGGTAATACAGTCGTGCTTTTAGTTTGAAACATGTCTTAGTTTTGCTAAAACTGCTAACGTATTTATATTTTAAACTAAACTTGCCACGACAAAGCAGGGATAAGGTGCTCTGCTGTGGTTTGCTCCATGTTTCCTATCAAACCTCCATTGTCCTGATCTCTCCCCTTCTTTTTGTGTTTGTTTCTCTTTTATAACACCTCTAATTTCCGACACTTATACAGACTTATTGTGTTGCAAGTTCAGAAAAATTATTACTAAAACATACAACAGGAGATGGTGGCCCTACAGTTTGTAAGAGTTAATATTTTGGTCAAGTCGGAGACGCCACGATCGATCTATGACTTTGCAGGTCTGTGTCGCTTTCTACTTTTTGTATTTTCACCTGTGCGACGCTTTTTAAGATATTTTTATGACAACTATAAAGTCTAAAATTGTTCATTTTCCGATTTCTCTCGAGACTCAAGAGATCTTTGTCTTTCAGACGCTCTGTTAGTGTTAGTTTCGTGGAATTTATTTATTCAATTGCTTTTTTAAAAAATGTATTTGTTGTTGTTGTTGTTGTTGTTTGTTTGTTTGTTTTTTTCTTTTTTGGGGGGTTTTTGTTGTTTTTTTTTGGAGTTTTTATGAGCCTTCAATAACATCACATTCCAACGACGTTGAACTTTTCGTTTCTTGTAATAATTGAGGTCTCTTTATCTCTCTCAAACAGCAG